TCACCTCCGGGGCAGGCGGGAATCGAACTCATGCGGAAGTGGCTTTAGCTTCTCAGTGCTGTGCTTTAACCTGCTGCACCACAAGGGAGGGCCGCAAAGTTATATTTTTAAAGTGGAATTTATTTACAAGAAGGCCTTTAAATTGCTTATGACAGTTGGCATAATTACTTGATCTTTTCGTTTTACCAGTTTTTAAGATAATGAATTGGTTCTGTAGCATGGACTAAAGGGAGTCAGTAAGATCTTGGTTAATTTTAGTATAATGAACTTAATGGATTTAAAAATATTTTTGTGTGAGTTATTTACAGATATTGTCCTTTTTGATGTCCAGTCTATCCTGTTTTGATTAATGGAGGCCTTTGGATACCATTCAGTAGACTTTGATTGCTTTCTTGCTTCCTGGTTTATGTAACACCATGTTCTGGTCGGTCTGTATGTTACTGCCGCAGGCCTGGAACCAGCCATTTCTCTAAGGAGCTCTTGTTCTTTTTTTTGTGGGAAATGGGTACAGGGGGTCCACATTCCCTGGAGGGGAGTACTGTTGCTGTTCCTTTTCAATGGACAAAGCTAGGAATTACTTTCCAAAAATGTTTTATTTTTGCTATTTTTCATTCAAATTTAGGATCAGAATTTAACTGCTTTGATGTTTGCATTTCTTCTCAAGTGCTAAAAATCTTTCTGAATGACAATTTTACAGATAATAGTTTCATAATAGCAGTGTCAACATTACTACTAATATTATTACTGAAAATAGTTTGATTTTTTTTCACTTGTTTTTGTCCTGAAGATATTTGTCCTGAAGTAGATAATACTACTGTGATTAGATAGTAGTAGTATTGTGGCTTAAAGTAATTTACAATAGCTTTATATGGTTAAGCTACCATTGCCATACATGGCTGGGTTAATTTGTTTTACTTTTAGGTGACCTTTTTTAATTTAAATTTTGTTTTATCATTCACATAATGCCAAGCTCAAATTCAACTCTGCTAATTTTCATTTGTGATAATGCTTATATTTGGGAATTTGGGGATGTTCTATGAAGGTGTCACTCATTATAAGCAAGGGAGTTAAAAATTGAGAAGGGAGTTTGGGTTTGGATCCTAAAAGACCTTGATTTTTCAGTTTAATAAATTTGGACTTATTTCTGTGGACAGTAGAACATCAATACAGGATTTATAAAATTCCTTTTAGATTGTTCAAGGGAAAAACTTGAGTGGTGTACTTTTTACTTTTCCTTATGTAATTATATGAAATATGGTTTATTTTTTTCTTATGAAGAAATGAAGAGTATAAGGTTGTTATGACTGAGTTTGATAACAAATGTTTATTATGGTCATACGATGCGCCAGGTACATAATTCACTGCTGAATACTTTTTTTTTTTAAATTTTATAACAGTTTATTTTTACATCATTTTGTACATTTTTTTTCCATCTCAATTGTAATCCTCGCAGGTTTCCCATCCATCACCAAGTCACCCGTGTGCCATCACCAAAATCCTGTGCACTTCCGTCC